CCAATCAATCACTCATTTGTTCACATAATATTCTTAGATTTACGCGAATATTTGACATTTTAAATTAATTATTTATGAAATAATGAAACACTTTTCCTGTTATAAACGTTATATTGACAGTAATTAATAAAATTTATATACACAACAGAAAATCATACGTCCCGCCCAAACGTCAATCACTATATTCGTCGTCATACTTTTCCAGCCTGCCTGGCACCTGCGTAGACGAAAAAGACAAAGGTTGTATGAAGGCGTACTTGATGTCTTCGAATAAACTAGCAGCGTGTAACATCGGCCATCCTGCAAAGTGAATACCCATAGGGTAATCACAAAACACATTAGAAAAAAGGTCTGGCTTATTAGAGTACAGCTGAATACATTTACTAAATAACTCAGGGACTGTTTCTACACATTAATTTTCTAACAGACCGATCAGATCTTGGGAACTCAAATACCTTTATCGCTAATAGCAGTATCTATATATAAATAAAAATAGCAGTATCACAATTAGCAGAACTTTTATATTATGGTCACTAGTTATCAGCGGGTAGCATAGCATTAAATTTTGTAACCTTTGCTCCCCTTGCTGATCTTATAGCAATAAATAAGACATACTTGTGCTATTTTATAGGGTCCAGCATACAACTTATCAGTTTGTGATTAATGCTAGTGTCAACATTTGTATATCACAGAAAACAGTGATAGTGAGGTCCAGAGTTAAAACGCCTTAGAACTAAGGTCAGAAAAGCTTTCATTAGAGCTATGAATACATATAATCCAGGAATGATACCACTACAAAAATGTTAAAGCTAAGTACAAAAACCGATTAAGATACTGGAGAAATCGTGTATGACTCAAATACCTACTGTGAGTCTATATAATCGTTTATATAGACTAACAGAATTCGTAAAATCCTTACCGGATAACCACAAGGAGAACTGGGTTCTGGCTTTTGGTTATGTGCCCAAACCCTGGAAGAGAGGTGAAGATAATATTCATGCCCAAACCCAGTAAGCCTGATTACTCGGATACAAAGTTCCACAGCCCAATCAGTCTCACATCTTTCCTGCTAAAAACTATGGTAAGTCAATACATACAACCACTCCATACTGGGATTGGGCTTGACATTCAGAGTTCAAATATGTATGCCACAAATACTCAATAACAATTGAATATAATTATTATCAAAGATCGTGCTATCACAACGTAGTACCTATTATTGCCGCCAGAAATACAAGAATATCATCGAATTTTATATATTTTTTTAAAATTCTATTTATTCTTTATATAACTTTACCAAATTTTAAATATTTCTTTAAAATTAGATTTTTTTTATATTTGAAATTTTAAGTGAACATTGAAAACAAATCGTTACACTTACGCCACCTGTTATAATATTTTTTAACAATTTTTTTTTTGTTCGTAATAAGAACCCTTATACAATGGAACGAAAAGGACCTCGCAAGGAATTATAGAAGAATTACTTGGCATTTAAAACAATAACTACGTACATATTTCACAATTTAGATTAAAGTTTCACAATAATTGCCAAATGAAAACAAAATAATTATTTAATAAAAGCTTATAAATACATTGAGGGAATTCGTAGAATAATTTATAAGGTACTTACATCAAACGCTATTAAACGAGTTATTTATATCTAAAATAATATATTTACAATGCAACGCCATCTATCGTAACCCGGTAACACTACAGTAGTGTATTCACATAGTGAATATCGATTAAACAACATCACTAAGTCGCATCAACACAACGTAGTGTTCTACAACATCCAATAGAGGGCCTTAGTAAGTTATTGGTATTGATACATACAAACTTTTGATTTATTTTATTTATACTTATATTTCAATTAATAATCATGGAGGAAATTATGAAAGTATTAAAAAATATTCAAAATGATATTAAAATACAAAAACTCGAAATAACAAATATGAAAAAAAAAACAATAGTTGATGAAATTAATTCAAATATAAATAAAAAAAATTTAAAATCTAGAAAGAAAACCCAGGGCCAGAAAGTGATTGAGGAGCAAATGACTATAGAAAATCAACTAAAAGAAACGTAATATTTTTTTTTTTGCTCTTCAAATCATCTAAATAAAACACTTATATAATGGAACATATAATATACGCTCTCTTGTCACTGAAGACACAAATGAATAATTAAATAGTATAGTACGGTGTTGTCTTACTGAATAAAGGCGTATGATTAACTTTCGGAAATCTAACTATTGGAAACCTTACTTACGGAAACCATCCCGTAGGTAGAGAGGGTGCAACTGTGCTAACGATAAAAATAAGCTCCGTAATATATTTTTTTCTTTAAAAACACAATATAACCAGAAAAGTGCTGTGAATTGCTGCTGCAATTGAAGGCAGTGGTTAAAACCTAATAAAAATATATTAAGTGCGTAAAATCGTGGTTTGTGCTAATCGTAAGGAAATTCACTTATACACAATGGAACAAAAAGGACCTTACAAGGAATTATAGAAGAATTACCTGGCAAGTAAACCAAAAATATATTTTTCCACAATTTAAATAAAAGTTAGTGTTACAACCTTCAGTCAAGAAGTAGTTTATGATCGAGATAATAGATGTCGCTACATGTCGTCATCACCTTTCTTTTAATACTAATTTAATCGTTTGGTTTCAACAATAATTAGTTTACAATTATCACTTTATTTTAAATTCAATTATAAATTATCTTGTGAACATATATCATATTTAAATAACATTTATTGAAAAATGGTAGATAAATTGTTCTGATAGAACTCGGAATATGAGTTGGCGCCACTAATATTAAATTAATAATTTATTGTTTTGTAATAAATGATAGCAATGAGTTATTAATTACCACATTGTTAGTAAATTTGCATATGAATTAATTATGTACGATACAAGTACTTTTTTTTCTAAAATCTAACAATAATTAATAAACATATTACTGAATGTTACAAAAAGTTTTCGTGTTAAAAATTGCTGTGTCTTCTACACAGACGAATCTAACGATACCCTAATTAAAGAAATCTATCGAGTAGTTTGGAAGAGATGAGGGAATAGACGCGATAAACATAATCCTTTCCAATCATAATCCAATCACGTACTTAGGCGCTTGTACTATTTTTCGGCTGAACTAAGTACAAAATCTACCTAGAAATTCTTCTTTTTATAGTGCCTCTCCAACTAGTGAAGGTTGGCTATCAGCTTTTTACTGTCTTCTTTATTTATAGCTCTGCGAAATAACTCAGCGGCGCTGGCTATTCCGGTCCACTCTCGGATGTTTCGTAACCACGATTTCTTTCTTCTGCCAACCTAGAAATTGCCTAAGGATTATTCCAAATTATTTTTAATGTCTTTATGGTCCGGGAGTCAGGCACAAATTTGGTCGATTATTTCTTCTGCCTCTCAAGCGATAATTAGTGGAATGGCTCAGAGAGTTGTATCACAAAACTTCGTGAACGTCAGCTGCGGCTCCGTGGGTGGAATGAGCGCCGGTAGCCTCCCACGCACGAAAAAAAATAAAATAAATTCAATCATTTCCTCTTACCTGAAAACTTGTAAAAATATTGGTAACCCAATATCTCGACGAAATAAAACAAGCTGACTATAACATGGTGGAATATACATCAGCTGGTCGCTCGAACACGAAAAAAATTAAACTTACAATGATTTCTTACAGCTTATATGCAAATATGGATAAATATATAAATCAGCTGGCTGTGTCTCGGTGGAAAGACCGTCAGCTGATACTTTTAGTAGGGGATTGAAAGTCATAACGCGGGAGTTAGGCGGGAGCATCTATATGCATCAGCTGACGAGGTTTCCCTCGACTTATCGTCAGCTGATTTTTTTTTTATTAATTACAGCAGTGTATTAAAAATCAGCTGACAAATTTTCATACGAGAGGAAATGACTTCTTTTAAATTATTCGTCATTACGCTTCATAAAAGACTCCATTTTCCGAGCAATAAATAAATTTAAATGGTTGATTAAATAAAATAAAAATCGATGTATGTATACCTATATGTTTCCTATGGACTCCAAAACAGCTGGAGCGATTTTGATGAATGTTTCAGGTGATCTTCAGATTAGCGCAGCGAGTGATCCTGTGAATTTTGTTAGCGATCAGACGTTTGGACGCGGGTAAAGCCGCGGGTAGGTACTGCCAGTATTATATATATATTTGGGGAAGACTACGATTTTGATAAAGATACCTAAAATAAGATGTAGATGAATAATAAAAATGTATGATACTTTAGCAATTGCAAGATTGTAACACTTTAAGTGTTGACTGTCGATAATATACAGACATGAACGAATTAACCACAATTCGTCCATGTATACAGATATGCAGATGTCATTGAGGGACGGTAATATAATAACTAAATATGCATATTACAGTTACATATTGTATAACTAATAACTTAACAAAAATGTATCTACATTTTTGTTAAGTTATTAGTTATACAATATATATTTTAACTGTTATTATTAGTTTAACTATTTGTTAAATATAAATAGCTTAAGCTTTAAGCTATGTAAGCTTCGGTAGATACTAAAAATTCAGGGATGGAAAACGAAATAAACATGGAACAATTAAAGGATGATGTTGTTTTGATAATGTATGTCCACTCCTCTGGTAGTCTGTTACCTACTCTGACTTATTTTGTTTAAACAATATTATAAGATATATTTTTAAAATTGATTATATTTATGATGTTTGTATGACTATTATTTTAATTTATTGGTTCAAAGAGATCATTCATAAATAATACTGAAAAAAGATTTAATTATATTTTATAAAATTTTCTTAATCACAACAGCATCTAAATTTTTATTTATAATAATTCTATATCATGCCGAGCAAAGAACTTTTTGAGCGTGGAGTGTGATAAAAGAGTACATTTTTGAATTAAACTATTTTATTGAATTATATTATATATATCACATCACATTAGAGACATTTGGTGGGCCAATTATTGTTTGTTGGCAGCCTCGTGCAACTTCTTCTGCATCTGCTCGGCCTGCTTCACGAAGTCGTCGTACGCCTGCTTGATCTGTGGCGCCAGCTTCTGGTTGGTCTCCTCAATGTTGGCCGCTACTTCCTTAGCCAATTTCTGAGTTTGCTGAAAAAGAAAGGTAAACATTTTATCATCGTGGTCTCAATGATTTATTATAAAACATTGCTATTATTATACTTATATATAAAAAGATCTAACCAAATGTACTTAGACAAAAGGAAGATTCTTTTTCCTTAACTTAACTACTTTAAAGTTTTAACAGTTTTATATATAAAACTAGCGACTTACGCGTTTAATTTTTTTCAAGCGGAACCCTAATCATTTTTCTAAAATCAGAGTAGCCTACGTTACTCCTTATAACATCAGCTATCTGCCAATAACATTCCCATCAAAATCAATCCAGCCGTTTTGGAGATTAGCCGGAACAAACAGACATACAAACAAAAAAAATTAAAATTGTTTTTTTTTCTTATAAGTACCGTATATACTTTCATATGCATTTACTAAAAAGCTGCTAATTTTTCATTACAAACAGATATTCCGACTTTTATTTATCTGTACGTATGTATAAAGAATATAACAGTGTCCTTACGTCAACGGCGCTCGTGACAGCGGTTTGCAGCTTCTCGCGCATCTGAGTGACCTGCTGCTCCACCTCGGGGTGCGACTTGCGCAGGTCCTCAGCGGTCTGCTGCAGCTTGGTGTGCGCCTGCTCCAGCGCCTCCTTGGCCTTGCCGTTGGCGTCGCTCATCTGCAGATACATTCATGTTGGGACATTAGCACACAACACCATCTAGTTCCATGGTAAGCTACGAGGCTTGTGTTATGGATACAAGATAGGTGATACGCTACACATATATAACTTTAACTAGGTACATACATATTACAATTATATATCGGAGTCACAGTAATTATTAAAAATATTGTACGAATGAACTTTCATATATAATTACAAAAAGTTAACTCAGAATTACATAATGTATACTCGATTGGATCGAGCTCTAATTGCAAACTTTTACTATCAGATATTTCGACGGTGACCCCGGGGGCATTTCGTTTAAGATATTTTTTTTTATTTAGTGATAAAATCTCCAGAAAAGTCGATAGGTATATAGAATAAAGACAAGGTTAAATGAAGAACACTCACCGCGTTCTGCAAAGTGGTAGACAGACTGGAGAGCTGCTGCAGCAAGGAGTCTGAACCTTCCTTAAAGGCTTTGCTGAGATCCTGCGAGCTCTTGGAGTTGCTGAGCGCATTGAACTGCTCAGTCATTGTCTTCTGGAACTCGATCGCATGCTTCTCCAGCTCTTGCAAGGGTGAGGATGCGGGTGCTTCGCGACGAACTAATCTTGCTGACGCCTGAAATATGTGATCATTATACACACAACCATAAAAGAATTACAGGATTTAATTTTTTTAAAGGATTTAAATTAATATTAAAATTAAGAAAAAACTTACCAAGGCCAAGCAAGCGAAGAACAGGACGGCGAATTTGGCCATTTTAAAATTGGTAGTGCAAGGAGATGTTGTAAACTGTAGAGCACGGGACAGTGTGCCAGGTCCGGGAGCGCGGCGAGTATATAAGGCGCGCGGCGAGGGACGCGACGGCGCGGGGGCGCTGATAGTGCGACTCCGAGAGAAATTTTCCTGCACACGGCAAACACGGCCGCCCTGTGCCCTGTTTACAAAGTGCAAACTACGATCATTAGGTAATATACACTAACTATCTAATGACCTATCATTTGCGAAGATAAAGACGACCCTGGCCCTGCATCCTCGTTGAGATCAATGCGACGGTCAATAGATCATTTTTTAGTGATGAGAATGGTTGATTAGTAGATATACTTCGATAGATCAAAAACTATAAACAATCATATCATAAATATTTAAAATATATAATATAAAACAAAAATTGGCATCGACAGGAAAACAGACACACAAACAGACTTTATGAAAATTTGCAAAACTGAAAATAAAGCCAATAACAAATCTCAGCCTATCCTTTTACTCAGTTAATATACAAGAATAAATTGCTTAACATTGCAATATTTTTATATTACCTATACCATACCATTGATATTGGTTGATTCCCCGTACAAACTTTTATCCCATTTTCACCCCCTTAAGGGATGATTTCCGAGATAACAACTATCCTACAATGTTCTTCCCAGGGTCTCAAACTATCTTCTAACCATACTTCATCTAAATCGGTTCAGTAGATCCAGAGATTACCCTCTACAACGTCGCAAACTCACAAACTTAACCTCTTTATAATATTAGTATAGACTAGTTACTTACCCTCGCCTTGCTCGCGTGCGCCCCTACGTAGGTACGTTTTAAATAGATATGAACAGTTATTGCGAGTGTATCTTAGGAGAAAGACTTATGCTATAATTGCAGATTTTTCTGTAGGCCTACTATTTTTTTGTACATTATTTTGATGTATCTCATAAGGTTTTGCCAGCGTTAGACATGGAATATAAGGACGACTCGATATAACCAGTTATTGTGTTTTCCCGTGGTTATGAAAGTTTTTGCTGTAATAATAGGTATCCTAAATGTTGACCCGAGTAATAAGTTATCACTACACAAAAGTTAGTTAAAATCTGATCAGTACTATTATATTTGCGTGAAACGCGCACATCGATTTTGCTGTTTATTATATGTATGTATAGATAAAAGATAAATATAAAATTAATTATGCTGCGAAAAATGTTATTTCTGAAAATATTGCGTACTTATTTTTCTGTTGTTATTTAAACACTAATTCTCAGTAATATAGAATCAGAAGATTTGCAAATAATTATGTATAAAATTATTGATTTGTTTTGGGTTCTTGAACTATGTGAGATAACAGGGTCGTCGATGAATGTCAAGGTTTCTTGGTATGTATAGAAATTATTTTGATTTATACAAAGTGTTCTTTCGCATTTGACGGCACTGTCACTGTGTGTACCTCTCATGTGTACTTATACATATATACATAAAATTGTAACCTTATTATGAAACCATAATTATTGTATTTTTTAGTTCTTTATATAGGGAAAAAAAGGTGTGTCCTACTTACAATCATGTCAAGTGATACTAGCAGTAAAAAAATGAATTTTATGAGGCCTATAAGGTGACAGGGAGCAGTCTGCCGAGTGCCGACAGCTGCCCCGACACGCACGTGTCCGGTGTCACACAGCATGAACCAGTTACGGAGTCTTCAGCGCGCAGTGGAAAGGTACACGGAAGCTATCTAAAGGCAACGCACGTAGCGAAGATTTGTCTCGACCATGTATTCCTTGCAAGTTAAGGTAAAATAGAGCGTTGTATTTGGCGCTTTGAAGAGGGAATACAATTTATAAAGAAAATGCACTTCAATGCAAGTCAACAGAATAATTTTGGTAGTAGGCATTGCCGGCTCTAGCGCCGTCCCTGGGCATATTACAAAATGCCGCCCTATTATCGAAATTTTGATTAAAATGTTGTAAGCCTAATTTTTTTTAATTATATATTTTTTTAAATGCACAGAAATGATTTATAAATGATATAAATTTTTCTCCTTCTTTTTTTTCATTTTTTGGAAAAATAAAAAAAGCATTTTCGGTAACGCGAAGAACATTTTTTCCACCCTCCGAATTTTGTCGCCCCTAAAATTTAACCACTCTGGGCACTAGCCCCGAGTGCCCCAAGTGTAAATCTAGCGCTGGTAGTAGGTGATGTCTATATATTATGTACTATTGGCTGCTTAAATTATAGTAAGAGGAAAAAAGTGGAAAAACTGATATATGATGACGAGCTAAATGAAAATACTGACATTAACTTTGTGATTTAGTAAACTGTATTTCAATATAAAGGGTAAATACTAAATACTTCTGAGTTAGGTCCGTACGAGCGAGGCGGCTCTAGTATTATACAGTTGATGATAAAAGGTTATAAACTTAGATAAATAAACTTAGAAATGAATAACATTAGTTTTTGTTGGATTATATTTTTTAAATTTATATTTTTTTTTTGTATACCAACTTACTGCCTACAATTTATAAGCACATATATATACGTACAATGTACATGTCACATGAATATAATACAAAGGCGTGCGCATTCGATCTGACTGCTCAACGCCAGTACATAATCCATTTATTTTTGATAGACTAACCTAACTACAATAAAATAAACTATTAAGACGCAAAGATACTATTATCAGCTAACATTGGATTGCAAAGGTTACTTACTGCGAATAACAATTCTATACAATAATAATTTCAAGTGATGGTCGCGGTCCGTGGCCGCAGCATCTATATCTGTTACAACGTAGGAGATAACGATATGTTACTTTATCACTTAATTTAAATGCAAACGGTAAAAAATTAATCAGTTATTTAACATAATATGTGTGAATATCTCTGTGTGTTTGTCTTACGAATCTATACATCTATACATATAATAAAATAGACTTTATTATGGATACAGAGGTCGAATCTATAGTTTTTAGAATTTTTGTCTGTCTGTCTGTTACCGCATCACAGAAAAACCACTGGAGGGATTTTGCTGAAATTTGGTATAGTGATAGCGGGTTATCCGGGTCAATATATAGGATACTTCTTACCGCGGGAAAATGTCTCATTTCTGAGAAAAAATACAAAAACTGTAATGTAAGAGTATACTAATATGTAAAACCTAAGATATTGGTTTTTGGTCATCTAATCGCGGGCGGAGCCGCGGGCAATGCTAGTAGGTATGATAAAATTGTAACTGAGCCGAATCTGTACATTAAATATTTTTTGGGGAATCTTTAAATCTTTCTATATCTTTTTATAATCTTTTTTTGGGGAAAACTTTGCAGGTGATCTCGCATAATAAGTGTCACTTTAGATTGTTATCTATACATATAATAAAATTGTATAAGTCGAATCTGTACATTAAATATTTTTTGGAAAATATAATTGAAATAGACATTATTATCGATACAGATGCCGAATCTATAGTTTTTAGAATTTTTGTCTGTCTATCTGTCTGTCTGTCTGTCTGTTACCGCATCACGGAAAAACCACTGGAGGGATTTTGATGAAATTAAGTATGATGTTAGCTGGTTATCCGGGTCATTTATTCGATATATTATTTGGATTTTTATTGGTTACTGTTTTTTTTTATATTGAGATTCATATCTAAATAATTACTTAAATTTAATTAACACTTTCTTAGATTTAAGGGAATATTTGAGATTTTAAGTGAATTAGATTATTTACTAAAGTTTCAGCAACACAAATTAAAGTAATATTTAATTATATAAATCATTAGAATTATTAAAAATGTTTAAATTTTACAAATATTGTTAGGTACAAATGTGAACCTGTATCACTTTTCATCCAAATTATTATACAATTTTGTGATTAGGCACCGTGTGTAAAAACTACGAGTATATGTAATATCTTAGCCTCTCCCCGGGAGAGTCTCCCGTGACAATGCTCGGTGCATTCGAATTATTGAGAAGAAAAACTAAAAATAAAATCACGTGAAAATCCGAAAAGATAGTTTCATTTATAATTACTTATATATATTTATATTACTTAGATTGTTAGTAACAGGTATATTTATTTTAAATTTATATTTTATAGCCAATATTTCGATTTTTATAACAATTATGGATATAAGTGCAAAAGTACTGTCTAGATATTATAGCAAATATAGTAGGTATATAGCCTATAGGTAGTGTTGATAGAAAGGTCACAAATCACGATGCACACCGTCTATGAACAGTCAGCGAGTCAATAAGATAATAATAAATAATTAAGAGCGCACAAACAATCGTTACTGTAAATAAGGAACTATTTTGTTGTGGTCAACAATAATTAATATATAGGGCAAAGCGGATTTCTAAAGGAGTTTTATCAAAAGGTGTTTACATATCTGCTCTGAAATATAGTAACTAAAATCGATTTATAAATGATATTAGAATTACGATGTTGGTAATAGGCATTTCTACAGTCAGATTTGATAAAATTATTATATGGTAATGATTTCTTACAATACGTGTGTCGAATACTTCAATACAGCGGCAGGTGTCGCTCGGCAGGAGCGCGGAGACGGACGGTACTGATTCAGCGCCGCTTCAGCTTCCTTATTACCCACCTCGCGCTGCGACCGCGCCCACAGGGCTGACGCGGGGACAAATTTATTTCATACATTGGCTTCCAGCACAAACAAAAGTGTGTTTTTTTTCACCAGATAGTTTAAAAAAGTCAATTTTAAATGACTTAAATCGTGTAGTAGGTATGCGTTTAAATGTTTCTCATATTATTTTTCACCGATATTTCTCCATGAGCGGAACATGTAGATAGTCGGTAGATAAGTATTTGATGTACTTATTTATATTTAGATGTTATTCAAGCCATCTAAGTTCTTGTATAATCAAGACACGCGGTAGCGTGCCTAGCCAAGTTCAAACCAAAAGAACTGGCGACGCAGGTCCATGTGTATATCATTTGGAGCCACTTTTCACCTCGTAATAACTTAAAATCAATTTAACGTAAACTCATGAAATTTAGTTCATTTATTAAATCTCCTTAGATTAACTAGAATTCCCAATTTCATAAATACAGCTCAAACGGTTATTGAGATATTAACGTCTAAAAATCTGCTTTTTTATCACTTATACTGACACATAGTAGTAAAACCTAACAAACTTCCAGATGACCTAGAAAGTTGAAATTTTGTGTCCAAATGGGTAATCGTGTGCATACAAAGGGAAAAATCCTAACAAAAAACAAAACAGTATATTTTTTTATTTGAAAAAAATATCTTTTTATTAACACCTTGCGCCTTCCAAAACATAATAGCATTTGCTTAATACCTATTGCCTTTGAAATATAATAGCAATAGTAATCATTATAGATTAAATAACATTTTCCTATTCCGCCTTATCCACTAACGAATAGTCACAAAATTTTGAAAAGAAAAGATTGAATTTACATGTCACTTTGGAATTATGATTAATAATAGTTTCTCTACAAAAAGTCATGCTATTCTATTCTTAATATTTAGCGACTAGAGACTTGTAGTGTAATGGTAAGAATATTCGTATTTTGAATTATTTATTCGAACAGTGAATTGTTACGATTTCCAAAATAGAGTCCATTATTAAATATTTTATTGGCGGCCTTAATGAAACTATGAATTAAATTTATTTAAGCATTGCATATTTTCTTACTTTTAATATTATTTACAACATTAACAAAGAATTCATTATCGATAGTACCCACGTTTCTTAAGAAACGTAAATATACCTTACTGTTAGTAGGTACATATCGCACACCTAGATAAAGAGTAGCACAACTCAAAATATCTCTTTTTTCATGAATAGAAAAAAACGTTTTACTCTTTTTCTATTTGATATATTAAAATAATCTAATATGTGTTCTTGTATATAATTTTACGAAGATTTTTGATCAATAGCTTGTCATCAAATAGCAGTATCATTTGAACCAACTCAATATCAAACACTTGAAGATATTTATTTGGAACACCAACTAACCAACTATATTATATTAAACACCAACAATTTCAAAAATCGTTTTATTTTTTCGTGTTAAATTAGTAATCATGACAAAATCATATGGAGTGTATGCAGATCTTAACGCAGATTCTTATAATAGTAATAACTCGAATTTGGATTATTTGGATTTTGGCTACTCTTATCTTAATTATTAGTTCGTTAGGGGCAAAGCCGGATCTGATTAGACTCATTTCACCAAGAGTAGGTACTTACTAGTTATCTATCGTTTATTTACTAAATTAACACGAGTGGGTCGAGTCCAAACTCCAAATACATTTAGAAATATATTGTGATTTGTGACCAAAGGTTTGAAAATAACTTATAAGATTTTTTTAAGGATAAGGCTCTATCACAGATCATATAGTATACTAGGCTCTAATAAACAATTGTATTTATGATTTTTATAAATATGATTTAGAATTTAAAATTACACTTAACTGTAAACAATCATTTTACTATTTCATTTCATTATGAAAAGTTTTTATAATAGATTACGGTAAATGTATAGATATTATGTTAATATCTACACAAATACCCGATACATTGTAAATAAATATCTAGCTCCAAAAAACTAAAGTTTAGTATTTTTGCTTAAATATCGATACAGATATAATTTTCATGAACAAGCTAAAAAAAATCTTGTAGTTGACAACCCTGTAAGAGTTTGCAGCCGCGCCTAATCTGACAACTGTACACGTACTAAATACTGGCAGCCATGCCATCATAGTTATTTGTATAGGCTATTGTGCTCGCTACTGGATAAAGCACATCATTTTACGGTCGGTGAAGGACTGCATCGAGAGTGCGACACTGTGTTGTAGGTCCAGTTGAAGGTTAATTATATCTTATGATTCATCATCTAGGTAGCGTTCTTTTAAGTTAACTCATCCTCGCTCAATAAAGTCCGGTTATCAGTAGTGAGCAACGCAAATCACTTGCTAAACCAAAAGTTTTATTCTCTACTACTCCAATCGTCTATTTATACCGTCACTGTTAGGGATTTTAAAATATTCGTACTTAGCCAATAGCCCATATGACTTTTATACGAGTACATGTATTAAAAATTAATAGAATAACGGCTTAATGAATTTTAACGAGACCTTTTATTATTTATAAAGGATTCGGACACGGGAAAAAGAAAGATTTCCTATGGTATATATTTTATGAGGTTTTTTGGACGGGAGATAGTAGGTAAGGGCTGAAGTGAAATCAGGACAAAATATTAAATATATAAATACTTAGAAATTTGTCAACTTGCTTATAATCCCCAACTACTCGTCGAGATCCATTAAGTGAGCCTAGCCACGATATAATATGTTACCATATTCGTAAGTGGCAGAATAGACTGTAGGCTTTTCGCATATCGGACTATAATAGAGTCAGGCCCAAGTTCCCAAGTCATACGCATATGCAACATGGAAGATATCATGACAGTTTTGTATTTAAAAACTGTGAGCTTTAAAGCACCCCACAGCTTTCAATCAAATTTATCCTTACGTCGGGATGGAATTTACCTGTTCCCACAAAATTTAGCCTATTTAATAAGAAAAGTGCAATTAATATCTTTGCATGTCACCAATATTGTGCGTAACAATACGTGCGCTGTCAGAATGAACAACCTAATTGAAATTATATGTAGGTAATTTTTTGGCGATGGTTAAAACGTACAAAGTGTACATTTTGATTCAGAGACTATACAGGAGCGGTCTCTTTGTTGTGCTACTGCTACTGTGTATTGTCGCGTGGTCGCCCGGCGCCCGCTGGAGCGTTGAAAGCGCTGTAATATAACGTATTAAGTATTATTTACAATAATTTACAATGAACGATCGTTGAGACCTTGGTGATTTGAACAACAAACTTACTTTACTATAACTCCATGGGTTTAGGTAGTTGAATAATAATCCAGTCAAATAAGGTCTGAAATCAAAATTTGAACCTCACCTTTGCATTTTTGATATAATGCAGTTTTAATGATAGAAAAACAATGTGCAAAGGTTTTCGTGTCATTAACCCCCGACAAGGGTTGAAAAAAGTTTTTAAAAATGTTACAAATTACTCGAAAACGGTAAATATTAGACAAAAAAGTTTTAATAAAAATATGTTGAGCTTAAAATTTTACATAAAAAAAAGTATCATGACTTTTTTTCCTCCGGTCAAAATGAACGGAGTTAGGGAGGCTTTAAGTTTAAGGGATGAACGTAAATTTTAAAAAATAGTAGTTAGTAGAAACATAAGCTAATTTTAATTTCCTCGATCGAAGGATTTATTCACCATTTGGAGTCGAAATCTAGGCGTAACAAGCTTATTTCTATTCCTAGTGTTTATTGTGTGTCTATCACTGTTTGTACATAATTTTTTAAATTTTAAAATAAGATATGAATAAGATTGTTATTTATACAAGAAAGCTACTTAGATAATAAGTTGGTACGTACTTATGAACAAACTGTGTATTGTGAATATAAAACAAGAATTTGAGATCAGTCCCCTCCTCTACCAGCAACAAAATCGAGCATAATTATTGACTGCTCGCATTATATGCAATTAGCTACAATCAGGAGAAAAATACATACATTTACTGAGAAAATAAAATGCTAACAGAAGATAAAACTATGGAAAACCGAAAATGTTAATAATCATGACAACTCATTGAAGTTGAAGAGAAAATGAATATACCAGGTAATGTAGATTGATATTTAAATACTCTAAACGGAATGGCTTGCATGCTTATAGAGAAACCGGATAATATGAAAAGAAAACGTATTATTTCGACCGCAAAGGTAAATTAAAATAATAATATGTTTAGAGGGTTTATCTAAACATTTAGTAATTAATTCATTTATGTCGTATGTAAATGTGTAATTAAAATAATAATATTATAAGAAATGTTCTTGTAATCACTAATGCTTCTTTATTCTGGATAGAAATCTTAAATTAGACCTAAGAATGATATTATAGTTATAGACGTCATGTATATATGTGATAATCAAAATCGATCCGCGCGTTTGGACTCTAGAATGCCATATAGGAACAAACATACATACATAGGCCGTCACGGGACGCCCGGTAGATGTGAAACTATTAGAATTCATATTCATTAATAAAATTAAAGGCCTGTAACGAAATATGGAGTAAAATAAAGAAAAAATAGAGTTTCAATAATAAAATCAATTTATTTTTCTTATTATTTTAATTATAATAAAAATTACAGAATATATATATTCATAAATAAGTTAGGAAATACATATTATGTGCATGTTCTTAATGAGACTGTATTACAATGGAGCGTGTATAGTATACGCGCACGCGCACACAGGTCGAACAGGCATGATTGATGATCGATCGAAATACGCGTGACAGTTTAGTTAACTACCTAAAGTCTAAGCCTATGGAGTATAGACAGTTTTGTTATAATTAGGTGTGCCTAAAGTATTTATGACAACAAACACACACCCATAACATAACAAATAAATATTAAATTGGGTTGATTTAGATTTTTTTATTGGTTTTTGTTCTTGAGCATAAGGCATATTGATTGGTGGGAATTGGGATACTATTATAGAATCGATGAGGCAGTGCGACGTTAACTTCTTCGAAGCCATTGTGATGCACCGCACGGCGCGGCGTCGTAATTTAATGAACAACGACACCCAATATGGAGTATAATAATTATTGTTATTTTATTCAGGCGAGACAGCTCGCGACGCGACCGCGATAGTGTGGTACACGGAGGAGTAAAAAAATATATATGTGCTAAGTACAATGTTTGAAATACCTACATATTTCCTAGTTCCTCTATTGGCAAGATTAACAAGCTTTATTTTTATAGGAAAAAAATTGTAAACATTTTGGTTAAATGTATACTTAATATTATAAACGTGAAAGTGTGTTCGTTTGTTTGTCTTTTTTTCACGTAGAAACGGATTGACTGATTTTTTGTGTGGAGATAGTTGGAGACCTGGAGAGTGACTACGCTAGGCTACTTTTTACCGCGGGAAATTACCTATCTCATTTTCACGAAAAACACGTTATAATGCAACACAAAAAATATTTATGATCAGAATTATTTGAAAGCTTTGCATTAATACTCTTCAATACAATTAAATAAATACGTGTTTTAGCATTTTTGGAAATTCATCCCGCAAGGGGGCAAAATAGGGGATAAATTTTAACGCGAGCGAATCCACGGATTCTGCTAAGAAATAAATAAAAAAAAATCGTTTTAGGGGGCATCCATTAATTATGTGAGACAATTTTTTTACGAGCCCCCTCCCTCATTGGTAAGATTTCGTGAGATTTTGCTGGACCCTAATCTCACATGAGATTTTTTAAAATCTGGATAAAATAGAATTAATAATAAAACATTCGTCGTAATAAGTTATATAGAATTTTTTTAGTGAAAATTAACATTATACAAAAAAAGGTTGTGGCATTATTTTTTTATGAATGATCTTCACATCGCACCGTATATGAAAAAGAAATATTCACTCCAAAATAATTTGTTTAACTCCAATGTTAAGAAATATTTGTTCTTACTTCATAAATAATAAATAAACTAATTGTTTCTAGAAAAAATGAATTTATTAATTTTAAATAAATTCTTCTATCAGTGCATAATTAGACCGCAATGAATATATTAGGTATATATGATTTAGCCATATTTTAGTGGAAAAACATTTTTTACTTAAATTAACCCAGTCCTTTCACAAATTTACTTTGTTTCTTGAAAAAAAAAATTACGTTATATTTGTTGAAACCACCCCCTCCCCCACGTGAGATTGAGTGAGGTTTTGCTCGACCCCCTTCCTCCCCTAAATACCTCACGTACTTAATGGATGCCCCCCTTACTCTATAAATAACACAAATAAAGTACCAGGTCGGTCTACTACAGACTGCACTGAATTTGTTGCGGCCTCGTATCAGATATAGTTTAAAGTGCAAATCCGTTGATTGTTATCGGATCTGCTTTATCATTTATGCACCAACTGCCTGGTAATAACAAAACCACAGGTCGTGATGTAAGTACAAGTCTCTTCTTTATATTTTCCTGCCTAGGCGATGCATACAATATAATATATAGATGTAACAAAAGATATGAATTATGATGAGACCCACTGTGTAGCCGGTCCAGTGCGTGGCAGCATCAAAATTGCTGAGCGAGTATGTAAACTACTAATAAGTATGTAAACGTATGGGGTCTATTCACGAACAAAGAAAAATTAGTTTCAAAAAATATCAATAGATGGCGTTATATGCACCGCTTTGTTATTAAATTTGTGTTAAATTAATAAAAGATAAAAAAATAGATCCCAAAAAGGTACATTATTATTTTGTTAGATTTACACGAATATTTGCCGATTATTTGAGATGAGATGCAGATTGACTATTTGCGAATCGACGACATCTATTATCTATTCAAGCAAACAAAAATAGCCCGAAGAATAGTCCAAATTAGCGCTGTCCAAGGAAAGAATTTTGTCTTTTTCTCTCGCCAGATGTCGCGGTCACTATAGCCCTCAGTATATTGTAAAGCTCTATAGCATGTATGTATTCTTTTTTTCATTTTATTTAAAATTTTATTAAAACGACAAATTGTGCAATGCCAGGATGCAAAGAAAATGGATATCATTTGTTTCCAAAACACAAAAACTGAAGAATTTGTGGGCTAAAGCAATAAGACGATAAAAATTGGCGAAATCACAATCTTTATATTTAAGGCTATGTGAACATAATTTTCAAGAAAGTGATTTTAAAAGTTACATAGTCTACAGGTAAGTATTTTTTTATTTTTTGTACTTTTTTACATATTAATTACAGTTTCATACAAACTTTCAACCCCCATTTTACCCCCTTACGGAATTGAATTTCAAGAAATGTGGGAACCCATATTTATTTAATTGTATTGAAGAGCATTAATCCCAAGTTTCAAGTAATTCTGATAAATAATTCTTTGCCCATATACATTGTATTACCCCTTTTTACCCCTTTAAGGGATGAATTTCGAAATAATCAAATAAACATATTTCTTATTTTTATCCTAAAGCTAAACACCACTTTCTGTGTATTTCACATTAAGAATGACAGAGTTTCGTACAATCTTCAATCTCCTATTCTACCCACTTAGGGGATGAATTTCGAAAAATCCTTCCTTATCGGATGTTTGACCGGTGGCAGGGCTCTGTCAAGCCTGGAGCCCGACTGGATGGGTACCACCCCCTTATCTATTTCTCCCGCCAAGCAACAATGATTACATTGTTGTGTTCTGGTTTGAAGGATAAGGTAGCCAGCGCAGTTATAGTTAAGAGGCATAGCATCTTAGTCCTCACAGTGACAACGCACATGCGGTTCTGCATTTTTGTAACATAAAACCTAAGTGCATGAACCGTAGGTGTTATGGGTGACAGGTACCGCTTTCCATTAGGTGGGCGTTTGTAACTGAATACAATAAAAAATACTTACTTCGTATAAGGAATACATCCTCCAAATTTCACGTTTCTACTACCAGCGGTTCAGCTTGTGTGTTAATCCATCAGTCAGTCAGAACCACCGCAGGATGCACCTCTTTTCAATTCTTCCTTCAGCTGGTCTAACTTCCAAGTACAATACATTGCACAGGTAAGATGCGAACACAATAGAAGCAATAAAAACTAAAAGGTATACAAGAGATATTATAATAATATAATAATTCAATTATTATAATAATTCAATTGCTTAACTTCAGATTCAATGTAAATAGCCAATACGTGTGGAGCTCTCCTTTCTAGAAATCTTGATGGGGATGAGGCATCTGTACTAGACAGATGCCTCATCCCATACAAAGAAATGGTAAGAATATAGTATTATATAATCTGTGGTTGTAGATAAAGCAATTTACGTAAATTATTTACCACTATCTTGAATATATGTTTGTAATATTTAAAAGTCAGAGAGTTAATAAAATAAAAAAACTGGAATAGTATTAGATACAAATAACCAGTTCATAATTCATTATCACTTTTAGGAGAAAAATATCCGCCTGATTTTGAAAAATAGCAATTACCTAAATGCGTAGTGGCGCTACTGTATTATATAAATCAATCAATTATTATAAAAGTAAAATTGTGAACTTTGGTTTCTAAACACATAAATATAAAAAATAAAGAAAATTCAATAATGATTTCATTAAAATCCACTTATGTATTGTAAATATTCGGGGGCAATTGTTTCATAAGTTGAAATGATTTATTATTAATATTATTATAGTTTTATAGCATTTATAGATTAATCTCTTTTCTGTTGCAATAAAACTGTTTAAAGCTACAGTTTAATAAAATTTCAACAAAGCCATAGATAGGGCTATGCGCCTGTTGCTTGAATTGTACTAATCATTCAGAGATGTGAAATGGCCATGTCATGTTAGATACTGATACGGTCGTGCATATTATAGAGTGCTTGTTAATATTATACATCTACTAGCGGCTCACCCTCGCTTCGCTCGGGGTCGCCTCTAGAAAAACCCTAATAGAGATCTATTAGTTCCCACGGGAACCATTTATTTTTCCGGGATGAAAAGTAACCTGTTGTTTGACCGGCAATATAAGGTTTCAGAATATTAAATTTTACGAAATTAGGTGCATAAGTTGTTGTGTACTAAGCTGTATATTGTTTTGGGGTCTATGTTGTTTACATAATACGTAACAAATAAACAAACATATCTATCCCACGGAAACAGTACATTTTCCGGGATAAAAAGTAACCTATTTGTTATTCTGATGTATGAACTATATTATTGTAAAGTTTCATCAAGATCAAATCAGTAGTTTTTGTGTACTAAGCTGTATAAGTTACTATAGTTTTTTGACTGTCCCACGGGAACCTTTTAATTTTCCGGTATAAAAATTGCCGATTTATTATTATCATGTATGAACTATATTATAATAAAGTTTTATTAAAATCCAATCAGTAGTTTTTGTGTAAGTTATTATAGTTTTTTAACTATCCCACGGGAACTATTTAAATTTCCGAGATAAAAAGTATCTAAGATGTTGCCCGGGGATATAAGGTACCACCATGCAAAATTTCATTTAAATCGGTCCAATAGATTCGGAGATTAGTCCGTACAAACAGACAAACAGACAGAGGCACAAAAAATTTGAAAAAAATCTGGATTTGTTCTATTTGTCTTCTTACATCCCCCTGACTCGGTTTTTAGCATTTTTTTGCTATGTACAGACATTCGACCTCTACTCTTTTATTATAGTATAGATAGACAAGAGACTCGCCTTGCCCTCTGGCTTCGCCCATTCGGCAGGCGTAATTCTCACGCTACCCGGTTATGTGCAGGGTTCTTCGCGTGCGTGTGGTGCAGTTCACCAACCAGTGGAGGATTGGTTCAAGAACGCATACGTAACAAGTTACAAGAAATGTCAAACATACATTTATTTTTATGTATGTATATATTATGTACCTATTCTGTTTTATATTTCTTGTACTTTTTGTTATCAATCGTGACGCCAGTAGCGACACCAAGCCGCTGACAACGGCTTTTATGAATATTGGGCATAACTACTTAGTTTTTGTCAAAATATTTATTGTTACTAGCGACAGTAGTTACGTTTAAAGGTTTAGTATAGATTTTTTTTTTCAGAGATGAAATATTTTCCGGCAGTAAAAAGTATAAGCATATGTTGACCCGGATAACCAGCTATCATCATCATGCCAAACTTCATCAAAATCCCTCCAGTGGTTTTTCCGTGATGCGATCAGACAGACAGACAGATAGACAAAAATTCTAAAAACTATAGATTCGGACTCTGTATCGATAATAATGTCTATTTCAAGAAGATTTTTCAAAAAATATTTAATGCACCTACAGATTTGAATTAGTTACAATTTTATTATATGTATAGATGTCAAAATACAGTTTTGAAGTCCAAATGTATGCGGCGTTTATTTACAATACTTTTTAATTTAATTACATTTCTTATATTCTCTTCTGCGTACCAACTGCAATAGCTAATAGGTTGGTACATTGCGAACTGCCTCCGTGGTGTAGTGGCTAGCATGTACGGCTGCACACTCGGAGGTCCTGGGTTCGAGTCCCGGGTCGGGCCAAGTTTAGTTATTGAGTCTTTCTTTATAAATAAGCCTCAGTAACAGCCCGGAGTTGGGAAGTTGGCGGTGTTTCACCCCCGTGCCTCGGAGAGCACGTAAAGCCGTCGGTCCTGCCCCTTAACTCTCACTGGTCGTGTCGAGCAGTCGTCCTACCGGAATATGAGAGTGACAGGAATAGAGAGTGCACTTGTGTCTGCGCGTACACTTATGCACTATAATATCTCCTGCGCAGTTGGCTAGTCTCAATGAGATTGGCCGCCGTGGCCGGAATCGGTCGGGAGAACATCACATCACATTGCGAAGACACATTTTTCAAGTTTATCCCGTGGGACATTATTTTTCATTGCGTTAAAAATACATCTCATAATAAAATTCGAGTCACAATTCACAAGCAGAACCATACTGCATGTTGTGGTCCCGTTTGCCCAGCGAGGATCTTTACGTACCTACGCACTACACTTTTCGGGATTACAAATACTACATATTAAAAAAACATAGTTAAAATCGTTTTTTTCGTTCGGGCGATTTTTATCGGTTTTTAAATTTACTACAAAAAAGCGCCTTACAAAGTACAACGTCCAAAGCCCAATGCCTATGCTTGGCCCGACCTGGGACTCGAACCCAGGACCTCCGTGTCTGGGTCTGCATAGGGGATTAATAAACAAATATCTATGCGGTTGTGAGCATTTGTATATTTATCTTTATTTATCGGAATAAGTATATATTATCTTTTAGCTTACAAGTTTCTGAAATGTTTAATGTAATGATATAATTTTATAACTATTACATTTGTACTAGCATTGTCCGCGGCTCCGCCCGCGTTCAGATGCCCAAAAACCAATATCTTAGGTTTTACATATTAGTATACTCTTATAATGCAGTTTTTGTATTTTTTCTCAAAAATGAGATATTTTTCCGCGGTAAAAAGTATCCTATATGTTGACCAGGATAACCAGCTATCATCATACCAAATTTCATCAAAATCTGTCTAGTGGTTTTCTCGTGACGCATTCCCAGACAGACAGACAGACAAAAATTCTAAAAACTATAGATTCGACCTCTGTACCGATAATAATGACTATTTCAATAAAATTTTCCAAAAAATATTTAATGTACAGATTCCACTTAGTTTAGAATTTTATTATATGTATAGATGTTGTGCGTATTTAAAACATGTTAAGTAGTAGATACACATCTGTTTTAATACTTAGTAGATTACCGATAAGGAAGTAATTCTTATTTCCCTCTCCTGTAACAATTTTGTTTATACTTTTTAACCCCTGACGCAAAAAGAGGGGTGTTATAAGTTTGACGTCGATGTCTGTCTGTCTGTGTATGTATGTGTCTGTCTGTGGCGTCGCACTATGGGAAAATCGCGTATGTTTCGTCTCAAAACTCCGTATCTCATTTGTTTCAAAACTAAATGAGCTGTAATTTTGCACACATATACTTGTAAGTACAAAGTTTAATTGAAATAATTTTGATTTTGAAAATTCTGTTTATTAATTAATTTAAGAAATAAAACTTAAAAAAATACATGCATTCATATCATTAATAATACTCATCACTGTAATGAACTTTTTATCAATCTATTAAGATAACAAATGATTTTATGAGAAATAAAAAGAAATTGAAAAAATAAAGATTTTTACCTCGCGATATATTTTGACACCGTGACAAAAAAAGTGCAAATATGTGCAATTTTTTTTTTCTCCTTGCGTTAGCTAATGTATAAAGATCTTAATACAACAAATATCTCGACAGCGGCAAGCAGCGGTAATGGGTAAAAGTCTCGTTAAAAAAATTAACCCTAAAAACATACCATATTAAACTATATTGTTTAATTTTATTTTATCAAACTAATATATATAATACTAATTACGAAACGTTAAGAGGAGATTATAAGCATTTAAAAAATGTATAATACTTATACATTTATATCAAAAACTTTCGAGCAATGTGGCGTTGAATTGTAGTAACGCATTGCGTCAAAATTACGTTATTGAACATGAGTTAGCTTTGAAGCCTATTTATATATACATTATAACAAAAAAATAGGATAAAGAAAGCTTATTTATTAGACAATATTAATTTATTATTTTTATTCCATAACAACGACTTTCTCGTGAAACGGTTTTGAGACGGCTTTGTATGGGGCTTTCCCGTAGTGCGTCGTAGCACTCAAACGGATGGACCGATTTCGATGCGGTTTTTTTCATTTGAAAGCCAGTTTCTTTGTTTGGTTAATATCAGTCCAGCAGTGTAAGAGTATCAGCTCTTTTTAAAAGTGATGTAAGGCGTTTTGGTGTATGATTACTCGATTAAGTGCTTTAAGCGTGCCATACATAATCGTTAAATGACAATTAATTTGCGTAGGGGTTTTTTTTTAATTTTTAATTTATAATTGGAGTTATTTCAACTAAGAATAATAAAATATATGAAATCATATATTTATATACCTACTAGTACATAGGTACGTACGTACCTGCATAAATAATTAATTTACTACGAATTTTGGTGAATAAGAAACAGGTAAATAAAACAGGTAAGTTTTTTGCAAATTTATTCAGTTCAATTCCTGACTGAAGTAGGAGGCACACGGCGTGGGTACATCACTAGACGCGGTACATTCTGTCACATACTAGGTACATTCTGATATATGATCACGATAGACGCGATATATGTATGTACATTGTTACAATTTGATGTTCGTATATCTCTAGTTATCGACAATAGTACTTTTTAATTTTATTTGATATTTCTATATAGGACGAAATCTCCATTTAACTCGTTGAGACAAATAACCACATCCACGTCCTTGGCTATCGACAAACATTTCTACAGTAAACAAATTATACATCATTTACGAAAGAATGTTTAAAATGCATAAATGAAAATAAATTACATTGAAATTATACAATAACTTTAGACACAAGTAATATTTAGATAAATGCTCTTATCGGCTAAATGACAAATTTATAAATAATTGTAATCTGATTTCCCGCGAAGTCGTCCCTATGTACTAACATGGATCATCTCGCAGCCATTCATCGTCGCAGGGACGACGTGACGGTCAACGACACTTAGTTGCAGGAACTCCAAAAATAAAAATTCGATTAAACTATAAAAATACATTTAATACTAGCATTTAATAGGTTTAGACTAAGCGTGGGAGGCGGTCACCGGTGCGGCGGCAGGAAACCCAACGCGGTGAGCGCGGCGTCGGCGGCGGCCACCAGCGGGCCACGCCAGCGCCACAGCGCCGCGTCGCGCACGGGCTGCGCGCGCAGCTCGGCGCACGACTTGCTCAACGCGGACACGCAGTCGGCGCGGTAGTGCTGCAGGCGGGCGTGCCGCGTCTCCAGCCCGTACGACGAGCAGGCGCCGCCCAGGCACGCCAGCGGGAAGTGGTTGTGCAGCGCTAGCACGCGCTCCGTCTCGTGGAACGCCTTTACGTACTGGCCCGGCTTGGTGAAGTTGCGCGTACGATATACATGCTGCAGCATATGCAGGTAACGCGGCACGCCCTCCTCCCAGCTGTGATCGTGCTGAAGCGAGTCCAGATAGTACAGGTTGGATGCGTGATAGGAGGAGCGCGGTGGCTTGCCCGGCGCCGGCGCGGCCAGTGGCAGGACGCGCCGCATCAGCGAACTCCAGTCCGGGTCCTCCAGCGGCACGATCACCTCGTCGATGTCGAGCAGCGCCAGCCATCGGTACTGGTACATGTGTCGGTACAAGCAGTCGTTGTATGGAATCAGTTCCATCTGTCGCTTGTGAGTGGTTTTCTTTGTTAGGTACATGTGTTGGAGTCCTGGAAGGTTAGGTTGACCTCCGGGCAGGGTTATAGGAGTGACTTCGGTGACACCGAGTTCGTTGTAATAGTTCAATACCTTTGTAATGTTAGGATGTACTTGAAGCTCATAGAAAAATATTTTGTCTGCACCCAAAAGTCGGATGAGCTCGATCCACTCGACTAGACGAACGGAGAGGTCTTCGTGTAAAAAGTCAAGGCCCTTTACACAAACTGCGAACTCTTTCTGAGTCGCTGGTGGCTTAGGACGATCATTGTGCACACGCAAGTTGTTAGTAGCGCGATCACAGGGGTCGGCCACGATCGAGACAGAGGCTGGCACCAGATGCCGCACCTCGGCCGGCAGCACGCACGCCAGCAGGTATGGCTGCAGCACGCCATCGCGGTAGTTGCCCCACTTGTTATTCCACACATATTTATACTCGAGGTTGCGGACTACAACAGGTGCTTCGCGTTCTTCGAACCACAATTGGCAGTGGGTCGCGAGCGTCGGCTTGATGCGGTCGTGTACACCAAGTACTCGTACCGCCGGTCCGATGCGCGACGTGTTTCGTGCATCCAAATATGCTCCGTAAAAATGGAAGACGTCTGTTTTGACGCGTAGAGTCTGCCAATAAGTGTTGTGGAACTCGAGGTCGTATATCGAAGGGAAAGGCGCGCAGTCCTTTTTCTTATAGTATTTATTCTTGTCGTTCCTGTGCTTGTGCCAGTAGGCGAGCGGCAAGGAGGGCAATCTGCGCTCGGCGTCGGCGCGCAGCTCATCCTCAGAGAGCACACGCGTGTCGGTGGCGGGTAGCGGCGCGGGCGCAGGCGTGGAGGGCGCGGGCGTGCTAGCAGGCTCGGACTGCAGCAGCAGGCGGGCGGGCGGCGCGGGTGGTCGGACGCGCGGCGGCGGCGCCTGCAGCCGCGGCAGCGCCAGCCCTGCCAGCGCGCCCCAGCACACGAGCGCCGCCAGCCAGCGCAGCCGCGCGCGTCCCGCCCCGCTCCACCGCGCGCACCACCCCCGCATGGCCTGCAACACACAAACACAACACACTACAATTACGGCAAATGTAACACAATTATTGAATAATACCTAGTTAATAAGCTTTTACATAATAATAACATGAGTAGGCGAGTCGTTACTCGGGCTGCGATATTATACAATAACACAACGAATTCATCAGAACTCCTGAAATTATATTAGCGTCTAGGTATGAATCATTTCTTCGTTCGATTATTTTAATTTTATGTGGATCTGAATTTAATTCCATCACATAGAAATTTTGAGTTTTATTTCAGCTTTCATGAAAACCATAATTTCAAACTTAACCTAACATAATAAATTAATTAAATGAAAATAAGCATTCTTTATAAAATCGACATGACTAAAAGTCTGATTTTTAATTCGACGGAATTCTGACATTTCAGAAGTATTGTCAACTTTGAAACATTGCCACTACAAACGGAAAGCATTTTAGCAAAATAAAAAAATAATCCTTTCTTGAATTCAAGGTTTCAATTAGAAAAACTAAGACTTAAAAAATTATTGATAACTCTAAAATGGTAATTATTTTTTTATTATCATATTATTGAAGTTACAATAATTAGTAAGGAAATTATTTTTCTATTACAGGAATCCCTGTCCAATAATCCATAGGTTGCAAGCCTTTTTTAGGAAAACCCCTTTGTTTGTAAAATATTTTGTTTTACTCTGTTTTATTCATTTAACTATTAAAAATTGACATTATAGTTAGCGTGCATTAAATGCACAAAACAAAGACTATTTACAATGTCATACATATAGTTTACTTGATCTAATTCTGTTTCATATTTTTTGTTATTTTACATTAAAAAATTCAAAGCAGAAAAAGTTTATGATATCTGAATTGTCAACGAATGACTGCTGTCATATTTCCGTGGAATTAAGAATCAAACTTTAGTAATAATAATTGATAGACGCTGTCAAACGGGACGTCGCGTGCGTTAGATGGTATGATTATTATTTATTATTAATATTATTATATATTAATTATCTGTGTATCATCGTCATTCTTATTCATAAAATCACAATAAATATCTATATGATGTTATATTTTTTCGCTTACTGATTCATTTACGTAACGTAATGGTTTACATAAGTATCAAAATCATTCTGTATATATGTGTATATATTTACGTTAACATTACAGGATAGGATAGCGCAAGCGTTTGCGACGCCGCGCGCTGTGGTGCTAATTACACGCTCGAATATTGCCTCGTGTACAAATAGCTAGCTGTTAGTCACGGAACAAGTAGTACTTTCCTGGAAATATTTTATTATGTTATTGGAACAAGTAACAACCACATATATTTAAATGTGGTTGTTACTCGTTTACATCCGTTAAGCTTTCCTATGCCGCGCGCCATACTGAGGGATAATGCCTTTAAATGTAGCAGTAACAGACGCTACATGTTAGTGTGGCCGAGATTTGATGTGTCATTTTATAAAAGCAACTAGCAGAACCTGTGGCTTCGCCCGCGTTCAAAGTACAAAAAACAAACTCTTCTTTCCCTTCTCTTTACAATAATGTATGCAAGTCTGCCCTATTTGTTGACATTTATGATTACTGTTCCGCTCCCTTGTGTAGTAGCAAGATGATAAACCTATGTATAACCTATATCCTTCCTCGATAAACGGGCAAGCTAATGTAAAATGGATTTTTTAAATCGATTAGTAGTTCCTGAGGTTAGCGAGTTCAAACAAACAAACAAACTCTGCCCCTTAATATTAAAGTATAGATTAGTACAGATTATATTGTTCTTTTTGACACCCTTGCGTTTATATAGTGAGCACAAAATTAGTCTTGTGTACAAAACTGGATCCGGACGAGGGTTTTTTCGTCTTTATTCTAACTAATTTTTTACGACATACACATAATAATATTAACCATTTAGTAACAAGTAATAATAATGTGTACTCAAAATAGTACTAATAAGACTCTATAACGTATAAACAGATGGGCCAATGATAATACAGATTTGCCAATATTCAAGTTAGGTTTGGCATATTTAAAAATATTGAAATTGATGTGTAAATTATTATGAATGTACTACGCATTTAACGCCTTAGTTTCTCAATTATTTAGTGTTTTTATTTTGATAATGAGCGTTAAGCGGTAACCTTCATTTAGGTCCTACTATTATAATATTCCTTATTAGTAATATTTAATTTTATGTCTTCTTTGACTTGGTATTTTAATTATCGATCACTTTTTTTTACTTTTGTCTACATTTCTATAGCAGTTTATCCGTTTCAAAAAGAGACATAATTTCTAGGCAGGTTGACAATATTATAGTTCATTGAATTGTACTTTTACTTTGTGCAGTGACAAAGCTTTGAAAGTTTAACCTCGGTCGTTATGATTCATGCAGACTGCAGCGCTAACTTATGTAATTGCGCCTGTGTTCCAATCCAATTGTACTCCTGATATGTCATAATATGAACGCTTAAAACGAATTATTGATTATCTTATTTATTGAAAACGTTTAAAATCAAAATTAACAAGTATTGTAAGATATGTTTTGTGAGTAGACACTATTTCCGAGTGAAAACCTCAGTCTCTCCCGTGACCGTTGCTGTAAAACATTCGAAACGTCGGAAACAAAAGTTCATAACAAAACAGCGACAAAATCGGAAAAGATTGTTTCATTTGAAACAATAATGTTCGCTAGAGGCTAACAGCAGTAATGTATGGTTGAGTTAGGAATGGTCTTTCAATGCGTGCGCAAAACGTTTTGGCCAACTCCGCTACTTGCATAATGTTGTGCACATACTGGCGTAAAATTAATATAGACGCTATGGATTTATTGATAAAATTAAGAGCCTGTTGCATAAGCAGCTGTTGTGGCAACGACGTTAACTTAGTTTATCGGTCGCCTGATATTTGGCATTCTTCTAATATAGATAATTATTCTGTTCGATAAAGCTTCAAAAGAGTTAGTCGCCGAGCGTTTTACTTATTGTTGCAGCTTACGAATTTTCGTCAATGTACGAACCGTTTGAGTAGATGAATGACTTAAGAGCATATTAAGAAAGGCCGACAGCCCTGCGACAGTGTACAGTGGGTCGGGGCAGAGGGCAATGTGAATTTCTGAATTCCATTTGTAAACATTAAATTAAAAAAGTGTTGTTCTTGACTTCGGAAAGGTGACACAATATCTTTGGAACAAACAGATTACAGTCATAATATAAACGTCAACAAAATGATGTGCCAATAGTTATTTGCCCTTTTCATTTTGAAGTCAATTTAGACAATGAAAAAAATATAATTTTATTTTCTTTCTGAGTACTAATCTTACAAGTATCATGTGTACAGGGCTGAGGCTGAGCTGACGCTGTGCGCGTGCGCTACAATGTACTGTAAGCATAATGTGTGTACATTTAAACATTACGCGCGATTAAATGTATATTTAACGTCCCATTGTCTCATGTCTGGTCGACGGTCGTGTCTCACTTCACTCATGCGCCTACGCCGCGTCGACTTGTTATTATTTCTCACACTAATTACACCGCTTAGAGGTCTTCGTCGACGTCCACGATTCGTTGCTATCTTTTTGATTAGCAATGACAATTAATGTCGTGCAGGAATTTTGAATCAAATTGTTAGTCAGAATGCATAGGTTATTTAATACTTACCGTTATAGTTCACATACATTTTAAATAAAACTATATATTCGGATTATTTGGCGGATCTATTTTGATTTTTGGTTCCCGACGTTTCAAATGCTTTATAGCAATCATGGTCACGGGAGAGACTCAGGTTTTAAAGATCTCAAAGGTTTTATATACTTGTTACAGACAGTGCCTACCAATAATTTTACAAATTGATTGATGATTTCAAAAATTCAAAAATGGCACCAAAGTACCTTACAATCTATACAGATAAATAAAATTGAAGTATCTGTTTGTAATGTCAACATAACAGCTTTTTACTAAATGCATATGGAATTATATACGGTATTTATAAAAAAACACAATTTTTAAAAATATTGAAAGAAACTTTTAAAACAATTTTTGAAATTTTTAAAATAATTAGGCTCAAAAAAATTAAAATGTACCCTCGGAACGCAACCGAGCGAAGCGAGAGTAAGTCGCTAGTATTCAATAACATTAATCAAAATAAATCCGCGAAATAACCCGAAAAGATAGTTTTATTTAAAATGTCAAATATTTGCCTAAATTATTCATAACTGGCTTAGTGTAAGCTTTAGCTTAAATAGAAGTAGAGATAACGATTTGAAAAGCTCGTCGTGATCGATGCCAGTGAACACGTGACTCCCGCCACACTGGACTGCGGATATCACATGCTTGTCTGCTATAAGGCCACACGAAGCATTGCACTGCTTCGTTACAAACCAGCTCACATCTCTTCCTAGCGTCTGAAGGACTAATGACTCGAAGATGTTTCGGCCTCATGTTCAGTGGCTCGGAACGGTCACGGTCTGCGCGTACGGACGGCGGAGTTGACGAGCGAGTGAATATCAGTTTTACATACCATTATACGTCTTATTAAGTTTAATATAGTAGCTATAATTATGTGTAAATTAACTGGGTGTTGAGTGCCGAGACGAGTGCGCGGGCTGACCGCGAGGACGCGGCGCCGCTGTACGCAATAACTATTATAGTGAAGACAATGAGTATTTATTATAAGGGTGTTTTATATAATATTAGTTTATAATGGTATAAGTGTTCTTGTACTTCCATTATACAGTTGAGGTGAGAGCTCAGAGGTTAAGATTTATTAGTCTTAGTAAAGAATAGGTTGATTGAGAGTAATATTTGTAAAATATTTTTGCTGAGAAATTTGAGAGAGACGTGTAGTGTAAATTATCTTATATATTATCTTTAGACGGTAGTTGCTACCTATGTAGTGAGCTTTTAGAATTTAACCTTCAGACCTTATGATATGAAAGTAGCTTAGTACCATATTCTCATCGCAATTAATAACAAAAAAATATTGATCGTACTTACTATAATATATAGGAACT